ATCAGTGAACTGAGAGGCGAGAGAGAATATTTGCATTTAAAATTGCTCTTTAATCTGGCTGTCCTAGACCTAGGAGCTGTACCAGCTTCACAGTGTCTTGACAGACTGGCCTATTCCTTGCAAACAAATTATATATTTGTTTGTAAAAGCAAAAAGCTCATCTAAGTATTCATATTATGATGAGTAGTGGCTTTCTGAGCAAAAGTCCTTTTTTTTATCCAAGAGTGAAAATGCAAGTAGAGGTAAAATACAAAAGCAATGTGCATTTTAGTCCCAAATGTATTCCGTTTTGGTAATTCTTTCCATCTGGTGTAACGGAACAAGTGATAAGTCACTTCAAAACTCACATCAGACCTCCAAGCAAGGCTCACCATAGCTTCTAAAAAAATGTAAAGAAAAATATCACTGGACAGTTCATTACTAGCTTCTGATTCAGAAGGAAAAAATACAGATCCACAGACAAATGCCCTCCGAAACAGGATCAGAAAGCAACAGTAATTTTGGCTTAGATTTGGATTAAGCACCCTTCCAATTTTTAGCTTTAATCTTGAGTGGAAAAGTCCGGATGCTCAGATCAAAATATACTGCACAGAACACTGCCTTTGCCCAGTCAAGTTGCTCTACAAGTGTTGAAGGCCAGGTTAGATGGGGATTTGAGCAACCTGGTCTAGAAAGGTGACCCTGCCCATGGCATGGTGTTTGGAACTAGATGATCTGTAAGGTGCCTTCCAACTCAAACTACTCTAAAATTCTCTGATTCTATTATTTATTGCCTCAATAGTAGCAGACCTACTCAAGTACTCTTCATTCTGTATAAATCATGAATCTCAATCTGTCATGCCTATTGCCCGTTTCACAAGTTGTCAACAAGACCTTAGCCTTTCGAGGACCCTCAGGTCCTAGACAGAGCTGCTGTGCAGCAGGTCGGCCCCCAGCCTGTGCTGGTGCCTGGCATTATTCTCTTCAGGTGCAGGATCCCGCATTTGTCTCTGCTGAGTTTCAGAAAGATCTCTGCCCATCTCTCCAGCCTGCCAAGGTACCCCTGAAGGGCTGCACAGCCCTCTGGGGTGTCAGCCACTCCTCCCAATTTTGTGTCATTAGTGAACTTGCAGAGGAGGCCTCTGGTCCTTCATCCAAATCTCTGATGAATACCTTAAACAATACTGAGCTCAATACTGAACCTTGGCAGACACCACCAGTGACAGGCCTCCAACTAGACCCTGTGCCACTGATCACAGACCTCTGGGGTCTGCCATTCAGCCAGTTCTCAATCCACCCCCCTGTCTACCCATGTAATTGTTCTATTGTGTTTGTGTGGCTGACTGGCCAACTTTTGGCAGTGGGGGAGGGGGCTACAGGGGTGGCTTCTGTGAGAAGATTCCAGAAGACTTTCCCATGTTCATCAGAGCCAATGACAGCCAGCTCCAGAACAGAACCAGCAATGGAAAACTCTGGGCCAACCAGAGTTGATAATAACCCCCCTGTGATAACATATTTAAAAAGAAGAAGAAAAAAAAAAAAGCTACTGCTCAGATGCAATTGTGGCCAGAGAAGAGTGGGGGTGGGGTGAGATCCACCTGCAGCCCATGGAGGAGCCCCACACTGGAACAGGTGGATGCCTGAAAGGAGACCCCATGGGAGACCTGTGCCAGAGCAGGCTCCTGGCAGGAATCTGCAGACCTGTGGAGAGAGGATCCCATGCTGGAGCAGGTGTAGAACTCCTTCCTCTGAGCAGCAGCAGAAACAACCTGAGATGAACTGACTGTAACCCCTATTCCCTGTCTCCCTGTGCCTGGGGAGGCCACAAGGAGATGGGGGCACTGGAGGGGAGATGTTCTTTAGGTCTTATTTTGCTTCTCATTATCTTCTTCTGATTTTGTTGGTAATAAATTCAACTAACATCCCCAAACTGAGTCTGTTTTGCCCTTGATAGTATCACTCACTTTGGTGAGTGATTTCTCTCCCGATTTTTATCTCATCTCATAAACTTTTCATTGTGTTTTCACTCCCCTGTCCAGTTGCAGAGGGGAGTGACAGAGATGGTTGTGTGGGTGCCTTGCATCCAGCCAGTGCCAACCCACTACAACTATCCTGTCTCAATCTAACAGTTTTCTCACTTTTATGCTTCTTTGTCTCTCCCTGACCTTGCCAGTGAGCACCTGTGTGTGGCTCAGTCATTGGCTATGGTTAAAACACAACACCAAATCACAAGCCCTGAACCACCCTTCTTAATCCCAGAAACTGTACAGCAGCTGCCACTTACACTCTAATCCAGATTCACACCCAATGAACTGCTTTTAAAGTGAAGAAAGTTCACATAGTAACTATTTTCCCTTTGCATGCATTTTCTAATATCAGTACCTCTTCTTCTGGTGGGTAAGAAGCTCCTCTAAGATACTGTCTAGGCTGTACTCAATATAAAGCAAGTTTCAAAGGCAAGTAAAGAAAAAGGCATGAGGTGAGTCACTCCTCCTTCTTGCTCCGGCCCTCTTTTCTGAAAGTTGTTCCGAATGTTTTTCCCTCTGGCTAGGCCTGATATTCAAAATGTTGCACATGAATATATTCACCACAATGATAGGACTTTACTTTTCTTGAGAAATCTTCAGACATCTGCTTTTATGGATTCTCAGAAAGGCCATCAGGAAACCTCAAAATATTTATATAGTGGATAATCCAAACTTTTAAATGCTTATCCAAACTGATTTGAACAGTTAGATGTTTAAAGGTCAAACAGTCAAGACAATCTCTGATTAGTAGTGCTCAGCAAATGGCTAAAGATTTTTTTTCAGGAAATGCTGTCTAAACATTTTTTTAAAAATCTGCTGCAGCCATTTGATTCTATCTCTTGAATTCACTTTCAGAACAACATTCAAGTTACTGTATTTCATTAGAGCAAACAAAAATACAGAATATGGATACTCACAATCACTGACAGTGCATTCATATGTACCACTAATCAAACCAATGGTGCTTACAAATAGTAGGAAAAAAATGGTGTGAAATAACTGTAAACAAAAATTGAAAAATATAAAATCATAAGGAAATTTTAATATACTTGTGGGTTGTTTAGAAGCAGGGACAAAAAAGTAAATTGGATAAATTATTCATTATAAATTAGTTTTTCATCTGTAGGATTAAGGGGTAAAGAACAACAATTACACATGACATTTGTTGCAGGTGCACAAATAGATTCACTTGCTTTTAGTGTCCAACCAAATATATGATTTATTATATGGTCTATTTGGGAAGAAAAACTGTGTTGATTACTTTCTGCAAAAAAAAAAAATATTTTCCCTAAAACATAATTTGCAATATTATATGCAGATATGTGACACTGAACTTTTCCTTCTACCAGCATAGCATCAGAGTTCTAGTTATTATCTCAGCCCATAAAATACCAAAATGATATGGATTAAACTTACAAACTTCTATAAAAAACCAAGAAATTTTCATTGCAAACTCATGATAGCAATCTCATATATTCTTAGCTGTGGAATATAGGTATGTTGAAAGGACACAGGGGATGGAAGGTCTCCAAAAGATGTAAATTTTGACCTATAAGGCAGCATGGTTTTTTGCTGCTATTTAAGGGGGAAAAGACCCACAAACACATATGTTTGTTTTTATTGAACTAATGTATCAAAAATTCAACTGACTATTTTAATTGTGTATATGTTTTGTGCTCCTGAGAGTGTGGGCATTTCAAAAATATGGGGAACTAGCTGAACACCTTCCTAGCCCTGATAATCCAGCTGCCTCAATTTTTCCCTCATTTTGCTTTCCATATATTTACCATCCAGAAAAAGTGCAAGAAATTCTCTCTAGAAGATTCTTAATACTCTAGGACATTTACTAGTTCTGTAAATGAAAAAAGAAATTACTTCAATTATAATCCTAATCTCACATTACAAGGGTTCTGTATCTGCACAGAAAGGAAGGTCTCATACATTTTGATACTAACAGACAATAATACACTGTCTGTCAAGGATGTGTATACTTAAGAAATTCAATTTCTTAGCAGGACCTTTAGCATGGAAACTGTGTTGAGGTAAATAATACAGGAGTGACTTTCCCCCCCTCCTTCCTTCCTGCTGTTGCTCATTTGTGATTCTTAGAATTAACAGAATGTGCATCCCTGATTTGAGGTGGCCGTGATCTAGTCACTACACTATAAATATACATGGTTGAGTGAAGATTTTACAACAAAGAATAATTTCTGATTCATTTTCCTTTCTTCTGTTCTAGGAAGACTATTAATTGAATAAAAGTGTATCTTTCCCTGGTGGTAGGATGAGGGAATAGATCAGATGTTCATCTTACTCGTGGACTTGTCATAGCTGGAAAAATTCAGATATCATATTTGATAGCAGTTTCTTCTCTATTTGGGTATCTGTTGTTATGGTGATAGTTCCAGGAGGAAACATTAATGAGGATGACTTGAAAGCTTTGATGTGAACAGCACAATTATTTTTAACACCTCATAAGAAAAGGTGACAGTCAGTTAGTATTGCTCCTGGCTAAAGATGAATCAATGCATCAGCTTTCATGAAAACTACCGGAATTTCTATTTGTTATGTATGTGTAACACGGTGTTGAATACAAATATGTAATAAAAAGGATTTAGAACAACAGCATGACTCCCCCTCCATCTCCTCATTTTCTCAAGAAGGATACAAGCTGTTATTCTTAGGAACTTAGTTATGATAAAAACTGATTTTAAGTATACAATACAAATTTTAGAAATCTGTATTGCTCTTTTGTGACACCCCAAGAACTATCCAGCATGACCTCTCCTATCCAAAACGAAGCTGTGAACCAATCTACAAACGCACATGGCCGAGCACAGGCCTGCAGACACACTGCATCACCCAGACTGTTGTTCACCTGCAGGGGCAAAGCGTTAGAGACACGGGAGCTTTCGGCCGGACTGTTCCATCTCGGGAGGACCCGAGGTCCATGGCAGAGCCTGGCTCACAGCTGTGACGGAGCCATGTACTTACATAGTCGTCGTAGGCCTCGTGCGCGGGCGGCGGGGGTGGTCTGTAGCCCGGCACGGACGGGGCGCCCCGGGCTCGAGGCGTGGGGACACCCCTGGCCACCGGCGGCACAGGGAGCGCTCCGCGTGTCACCGGCGCTCCTCGGGGCGCTTGGGCACCTCGTCCAGGCAGCGGGGGAGGAATGGCACCCCCACGTCCCCTGCGGGGAGCAAAAAGGAATGATCACTCTGGCGTGTGCAATGAGGGAAGATGCGCCCCATTTTAAAGGCTCTCGTGTTTTTACTACTATTTAAAGCGTCAGGTAACTCTGGGGTTTTGGCAGCTACAATGTCAAGCACTTTTAGGCAACATCTCAGGCAGAACTCATATTATAGAAAGGCATTATTTTTTAAACTACTCAGTGCCTTTTGCACCTGATCCTATTGTTGCTTGTACTAATAAAATTCTGAATCACTGTAATTCACAGGGTTGTAGAATTTCTCCAAAGCAGTTCTAGAAGATGAAGAAAATGAGGACCCTCTTCTGTTGCTCTCAATCTATTTTACAAGAGCAGTCATCACTCTCATTTTCATGCTTATTGGTGGGTGAGAGAAATGGATTGGCAGAAGATACTGCTGGACTGCAGAATCTTGCAAGGCAAAGTAGAGGAAGAATATAAAAGGAAAGGAATAACTTTTCATCCTGTGTAATTTAGTTCAGCACAAAGGATTGGTAGTGTGGGATTCTACCTTCCCCCACTGCACAGAGAGAATAGAGCATATAGACAAGCATGGAAAGAGGTTTAGCATCCTCTGGACTATTTATGCTGTATCTCCCTTGCTGTACAAATAGTAACTCATAAGAAGCTGTTTAAAAAGACTTGTATCTATAGTAAATGATGAAGTAGAAGGGGGATAAATCAGGGTAGCAGTCTGTGAGTTTTGTTTCAGAGCAATATGCTTCTGGGTGTGCTGTCTTTTTGGAAGACTGTGAATGCCAGGTATTAACAACCCTGCATGACACCACAGTTGTGAATGCAACTCAGATCTCCTGTAGCAGTAGGAACTGTGTCTTGTTCCCTGCTGAGAAAACCAAACCCACTGCTTTAGCTTGTGAAGTTCATTACTTTATTACAAGTTTCAGTAGCTGATTTTAGACTTGCAGAATCAATGAATGGTTTGTGTTGGAAGGGACCTTCAGAGATCCTCTAGTCAAAATCCCATATCTTGGGCAGGGACATCTTTTGCTAGATCAAATTGTTAAAGATATGTCCAACTTGACCTTGAACACTTCCAGTGATGGGGCACACAAAACTTTTTCCAGTGTTTCTTCCCTATGTCCAACCTCTTTTCATTTAAGACTGGCAAAAAGTCTCTCTCTTTCTTATTATTTATATATGGAATGGCTGCAATGAGGTATCCCTTCTCCGGGCTGAACAAGCCAGCTCTCTCAGCCTGACTTCATAAGGAGAGGAGCTCCAGACATCTGACCATTTTTGTGGGTCCTCTGGACTTGCTTCAACAGGTTTTTAAAATATTCTTCTGGGATTTTTGACTGGAAAATAGGGATCTGTGCAACTGATTCAATCATTTGGGCATTTTGCAGGAATTAGGGGCCAGAACTCCACCAATTAAGCTTTGAACCGAATTTAAAAGCTGCTGGTTTGTTAAAGTGACATTCTGAACTACATTATTAAGTCAAGCTGTTCAGAGATCTCGGATGTAAGGAAGACTGAACCCAGACACTCTTTGAGTTGAAGATGGTCATGAATGCCAGCTGCAAAGAATTCTGTGTAAGTGCATCATACCACCAATTAAAAAGCTCATGTAGGAAAAACTGATGGCAAACTTGATAGACATCCTTAGGAAAAAAACCCTCAGAGATCATAGGAAAGATCAGCCCATTCAATTACTGAACAACTCCTTTGTCAGCATAAGGTACCCCATATCCTATCTCCTTCAAAATAAAGAGTCCATTTTTTTAAGATTTATCTGGAAATGACCTCTATGGAGAGAAGACTGGAAACAGTTAGGTTACTTAGATACTTCAGGCAATGAAGTTCTTAAGGGTTCACAGGGAAAAACAAATCTGAGAGAATGTTCTAAGATTTTACATTGGCCTTAATAATAAGCAGCAATATCTGTTATTTAGATATGAAAAAAATACTTGGGCACATTCACATCCCAATGTTTTTAGATTATGCCAACCAAATTCCCTTAAAACTGATAACCCATCAATACATAACATATAATGAAGTTTATATATATATAAACTGTATATTTGTATATACAGACAGTATAGCTGTAATATGTATAAAAAGTAATTATTTGGCAAATGAAGTTCCACCTAGACTATGAGGCCTTGTCTGACTACACTATTATTTTGACCAAACATTTTATTCTACTGACCATACCGCCTTAGTACTAGCATAAAAGTATACTTTCTTAGAAATATCCTTTTCCTGTCTTCATAATCTGCTCTCATTTATTGTCACTCACTGTGCCCTATAGGTCAGAAAACCTGGAACAATACAGACTACATCAGAAGACAAATATTTTAGTTTACTAATCAGGATATGTATGCAACTGTCATTTTTTCTTTTAACAATGGGTTTTTTTATTACTGCTTACACTTTGTAAAGCTATTAACATAATAGCTCAGGTTACCACACCTTGAAGGAGCTGCAGGTGGCACACGGATCCCTCTTCCTCGAATGCCCCGTCCACGTGATGAATCCTCAGAACCGTTCAGATACGAAAGTTCTCTCAGTTGCTCCTGGCGAATTTCATCATTATAATCCTGAAATGCAAAAGTTGAAACTTTCTGAAACTTTGTACTTTGGCTGAGCTGGCAAGCCACCCAAACCAGATATTCTGCGCATTGTATTTTGCTGAATTGTTCTGCATTATCACTGGTATGCTGAAAAATTGTACAAGTGGGAGTAGACAACTACCTATAATATATGGACAGAAAAAATGTATATGTATGGATAGTGAAGATGATCATAAAGAGCATGAACATGCAAAAAAACCCACAAAAGGCATAAACATAGAAAAATGTATCTTTATGCAAAATGCAGATGGACTTTTGCATACAAAAGGTACTAATTTCAAATTACTTGTAATTAACAAAAAATAAAGTGTATTTTTTTTTTTTTTTTGGCCAAACTTCCCTGGTGATCTTTATGGACTTAAAACACAAATTCTACATTATTTTGAACATTAGCATGACTGGATGATTTAATTCAATACCAATTAGCATCACAGAAAGTAGCATTCACTTATTTTGTATATCCTGAAAAGAGTCAAGTAACAAAGCTATGTTTACTATAAAAAACTATTAAATGAAATAAAATAGTCCCATTTTAAGTCAACAAGGTATCAACTTCAGCACTGCAATTTCTGTTGGCTCAGTTAACAGAACACCAGATGAACTCCCTTTTCTCACTGATATAAAATAGAATCACAGACTCATAAAAGAGTTTGGGTTGGAAGGGACCTTAAAGATCTAATTCCAAGCCCCCGACATAGACACCATGTTGACTTCCTCTTCATTGGAATGCATGACTGGGTGAGGTAATCCGTGAATATCAACTATGTCTCTTGGGTCCCTCTTCCTTCCAGGGCTCTATCCTACTGCACTCCACCGAGCAGTTCCCTGTAGAAACCAAAGTCTGCCCTCCTCAAGTTCAGGCCAGACCTCGCTGTGCACTCTCCTCCCTGCCCTAAGGCTCTTGAACTTCATCATTTCATGGTCACTGCAGCCCAGGCTAGCCTTGAGCTTCACTTCCCCACCAGCCCCTCCCTGCTGGTGAGAACAAAGTCCAGCACAGAGCATTGTCCCAATGGCTTCTCTAGCACCAGGAGAAGGAAGTTATCCTCAATGTACTCCAGGAATGCTCTTGTCCTGCTGTGTTGCCCCTCCAACAGATCTTGGGGACGTTGAAGTCCCCCACGAGGACCAGGGCTTGTGAATCTGAAGCTCATCTTCTCTGTCTATAGAGTGTCTCATCTACTATAATACATAATAATGGACACATTTGCTTACTTTATATTAGTCCAAATTCCTTTGTCAGAAATTCCTTTTTTTTTAGCTTCCTTCCATTTTATCCAGCTTTTTACAGGTTGATCACTCTACTGAAAGTCTGTTGCAGCAGCCAGCTCACTGGCAGCACAGCTGTGTGACAGCTAATTATTGTGTCAAAACAGAAAGGAGTATTGAATTTCAGCTCTTTTGTCCTTCCATCCCTCCACAGGCAACTGCCATTGACTGTTATGCAAGGACCTGAAAATGCACTACAAGTGACACCTCTTTCAGCCAAGTGGAAGACCAAGTGAATGGTGAGCTCGAACTGAGGCCTTGCTTGTTGCTTCTCCCACCTGAGGAGGTCCAGGAAATCTGTTTAAAGATATGATCCTGATTCTTTTGTGTTCTAGGAGTGTAGGCCTGGTCATAATTTCCTTTCTAAATTCTAGAGAGAGTAGCTGGAGAAAAATCTATTACTGAAATTCAGAAAAGAACCCTATTTATACAACCTAATGTGTGATAATTGCAGCACAATCATAATTTAAAATAAAATAATCTATTTTATTGAGCAAATCCCTAATTTGATAACAAAATAGATAATGGCTTTCATTTCACACCATGCCCAAATATTTTTTTCACATTTTTCTGTCCTTCTAACACTGATAGTTATAAACCAAAGACATCTTCTAAATCAATGTGCTCTGTAAAATACAGAGGGAAATACAGAATCAGTGAGATCACATTTACAGCAATTGTTGGACCAGGTATCATCTACTGTGCCCTCTTGATATCATCTGATATTCATACTGGCTTTGCAAGGATTAGGACTTTAAACTTGCTGATTGAGTTTACCCTCCAGATTCCACACTGGTACTGAGAACAAACTTCATTAATGTAAGTACATTTTGTAAGAGGAAAATGTAGAGGGGGGAAGGACCTGCAAGGGACAGAAATTGGAATTTCTGTGTTGCTGTTTTAACCCCTCTCTTTTGGAATATTGCTGTATAAATGAATTCTACTAGAAATTGCCTCAAAGAAACTATTACTCCCGCAGGTAAAAATATAATTTAAAATCTTATTATTGACAAAACAGAATATACAAATCACATTTATAATATACAACAAAATCTGCAAAACTTCACCATTCTGTTATGCAATGCCCTTAGTTTTAATGTGCAGGTTATTTGCTGCACATTCAGTTAAGAAACTATATTTTGAAATGACAAGGTAAAGACAGCGAAGTACTCCCAAAGGAAAATGCTGGGACAGGTTTCTTAAAAGTGAATGATTTTATTAAAAATATAACTCTATACATATAATTTATTTTACAGGTGCCTTAGAAAACATAGCAATGTTCATCATTTCTAAACTCGAAAACTGAAATTTTCAGCAGAAATTCTAATTTTGTCTCTTCTTTTAAACAGAAACATAACACTGAATTAATCTTTCATAGCTGCTACAAGTATAGCTAGAGTCAGGGTATCTATCCTGATGAATATTTAATTGCATCTGAGTTCAGAGCCCAGCACATGAGCAAAATTATGCTGCTGATGTTTCATATATGCCTAGTCCCAAGAAAGAGTATGTGATGTTTCAAAGCATACCTATACTAGACAAAGCACAAGGAAGTAGCTACACACTACAGTAGTATATTTTGTTTCAGGGAAAAAAACCCCAAAAGCAACCTCCTTTTTATGTTAAAATAAGCTCACGTAAAATGTCCTGTACTTCATAGCTTTTCTGAAAGCTTTCTAATAGTCTTATACCAACACTTACAGCTGATAATCTACATTGACCTATATATTTTGCTCTTGTTTATATCCTTAAAGACATTACTATCTATAAACAGCTTTTGTATTTACTGCTGATAAGGAGGCAATTGACTTGTATCATGATGGTCAGTGTTTACTAACTGTGAACTAACCACCCATGCCCACAACTATTCACTTAAATACACATCTTGACTTTAGAAATGTGAAGGATTTTCAACATCAGCAAAATCATAGGCCCAGGGCCAATACAAATTGCCATGTTTATGCAAATGACTAAAATACCAAATTACATCCTTAGATAAAACATTAAGAAGTCCAGAAAACATCATTATTAATGAAGGTTTGGAGTGATTAATTAGGTTGGTTGCCTTGACTGCTGTAGGAATAAAGGAAACCCATGTACAGGTTTTCCACAGGAAATTAAGAGTCCGGCTGGTGCCAGCTCACCCACAGGCCCTTCTGGAAGCACTGAAAGGAGGTGCAGCAAAGAGGGGAAAACACATAAGCTTCTAGGGAACTAAGTAAACCATTTTGATAAAAAAAAAGCAAAGTATGATGCAAGTTGCAAAACCTGATCTGAATTAACAAGAATATGTAGTGACAAGGGAAGAGAGTTAATAAAGAAATCAAAGGGTAAGGCACAGAAAGACCAAAAGAATTTGGGGAATATGTATCTATCATTAGCATAACAAAGGCTCATAGAAGTCAAGGATGAATCAGTCCCTAAAGGACTGTGATCTCCTCTCCTGATGTACTCTTCCCATTTAAGTTCTATTATAATTCTATTAATAAATATCATTACTCTTATCTGTGACAGCTGAATTTCATTCTTACCAGAAGAATGGGGAAGAGTAATTTAGGTTACATTCAAACTACCTTAAGAATGCATGAGTTCTACATGTCAAATCTAAAATGATAATCACAATATTTCACACTGACAATTTTGAAGCATGAATAAGGCACACTCTTTCACTGCCATGCATGCAATATCCTCTGAAGCTCTGTGTTGTCAGTATAGAGCATCACACTCCCAGACATATATTTGCCCATCCTGCCACACTCTCTTCCTGTGCTCAGGCAGCAGAAAGGGAACAGGAGATGGATTTGGACTCCTGTAGCATTTCTGCACCCTGCCCAGCTCCTCACATCAGCCAAAGAATTCCAGGGATGTGTGTATTTGCACAGATTCACTGAAGCTAGACAATCTCCCCTAAATTCTGCTGGTGCTGCCTTGGGGCTATTTTCAGGCAGCTTAAATTCCAATTAGGCTATAATTTCCATGGAGTACATGCTTCAGAAAACTCACAGACAGAAAATGGGACACAGACGATACAGTCAATTTTAGGTGGAGCTAGGTGATGGAAATATAGTCCTTTTGTTTTGTTTGGTTTTAGATACAGTCTAATTTTAGACACAAAAAGAGACACTGTCCACATGCCCTCTTCTGTATATGGGGAAGCACTAAAAAGCACTGTGAAAATAACTCGTGATGAGGAGTTCCTGGAGACTCCCCACTTCTTTGTATTCTCTGTGTCCCTACAATGGTAAACTGTGCTATACTTCAGCTTCAGAGCATAGTGAGAGCCACTTATCTGGACTCATGGGGTCAGGATCTGCAGTTCAGTGCACTGAAGAGGACAAGAACCCTGGAATTTCCACTTTTTAGTTGAGTGCTTTAATATCAGGCTTTTAGAAAAAAGTATAGTACTGGCTGCTCAGTAATTGAAGTACTTGACAAACTAAATCCTGAGTTGAGAAGAGACACTTGGCATTTCCTGTTACTTCTTAACATTTTAAAATCCTGTTCTAAGACTCCAGTGCACTCAAATATAAACATATTGAACTTCTTCCAGCACAGATCAATAATATTTATCATTGTCAGGTTAGGCAGCTTAGAACAATTGTGCCAGGTAAATTGGACAGCCCTCTCCACCCTAAAATTTGGGTGAGACTGTGCCTGAGGTGGGCATGTAAATTAATTGCTACACCTGAGTCAGGGCA